AGTGGGCACCAAACTATTTGTCAAGTCCCATTCTTGGAAAATCTACCTACAGAGGGGGCTTTGACACCTTCACTGTGTTTTACAGAAGAGTTGGGCTGGAATATTTACATACTGAGATAACTATTATTTTATTATAAATTAGTATTATAATTAATTATAATTCTATTATAATATAATTATAATTCTTTTAATTCTCCTCTAGAATACAATTAGGGCATTATGTGGCTTACATGGATTTATTTAAATTGAGTCTATAGATAGGTGACATTGTCTGTGAATTTCATTTCAACATAGTGTAATCAGGGGCAGGTCAATGTATTTGTTATTTTAAAATGAAGACGAAAAGGAGACCAGGCCTGATATGCCTGAGTTCCCAGATGTGGGGTTTTGCAGGATATGATCAGGGACTTGCATTTTTCCTTGGCTAAGCTGGGAGCCCTGGGAGGGTTTGGGGCAGAAGGAAGATTCATCTGACCTGCACCTTTTAGATGCTACTCCAGGGGGCAAGCGTGAAGCAGCAGACACTCCTTAGGAAACAGCCATCCCAGAGAAATGGGAACAGAGCAGATGAGGTGGTGAGAGTGCTGCTGAGACTTGCTGAGGGGTTGGATGTGGAACTTCCAAGAAAGAGAACCCAGGGATAACTCCATGGTGTGGTTCCAAGTTACCATGGAGGTCGGGGAGGAAGTGGACAACTTCAAAGATCAGGAAATTCGAGTCTTGATTTGGGTCCCTACCTGTGCCCAGCAAAGCGAAAGATCCCAGTGGCAATGCCAGGAGCAAACTCCCACCCTGCCTCCCCCAGTCCAACCCACCCCACTGACTGCCATCACCAGCAGGTGGCATTATGGAGCAAGCCTGAGACCGGGAGTCAGAACACCTGCATCTGAGTCCTAGCTCCCGCAATGAGCAGAGGTGAGCAAAGTGGTACTGCAGAGAAAGGATCCCCTTTTCACCAAGAGCACCACTCTCCATCTTCCATGCCTCCTTGTGTCCCCACAGATTAGCCTCAAGAATGGCAGGAACACTCAGGCCACTCTCAGCTCGATTTTCAATTCATTATATATAATCAGCTCCTTCCCAAAGATACTTGAGGTGTCTTTCAAAAACACACACAAAGGAGTGAAAAAGGAATAGGAGGCAATTAAGAAGAGGAAACAGATAAACTGAATTACAGAAAAAATGGAACTGCTATGAACTTCTTCTAGGCTTAGAACTGGCACGCCAGCACTCCGGCTACATTCCATTGGCTGAAGCAAGTTACAAAGCCAGTCCGGATTATAGGGGCAGGAAATGGACTTCACTTCTTGTTGGGAAGAGTGAAGGTTGTTGCCATTTTTGCAACATACCACCATGATAAATTGTGCAGCTCTAATTATCAGAGACAAATAAATATGGCAGTTTCTTGGAGCAAAATTGCTCCCCTCGACCAACTTCTGAGAAACGTCCCAAGGGCAGACACCATGTTGGCCTCATTTTCTTCATAGCAGTGATCATTCACTGAGTACTTACTATGTGCCAGACCCTAGGTGTCTTTTACAGTCATGCGCTTCAAAAAGCACAGGAGGTACAACACGGCTCTTCATCATGAGTTTAGCTGGTACACAGATGAACAGTTATGGCAGCATTTTCTTTGTTTTTCTTATCGCTTTGCGTGTGTGTGATAAGGGATATCAATTTTCCTCTGATGCCAATAATATAAAATTTTCCTTTTGAAATTGATCAGTTGAAGCCTTTCAACATGAATTCATTTAAGGAAATATTAATTAAGCAATGAAGCCAAGCACAGTGGCTTATGTCTATAATCCCAACAGTATGGGAGACCAAGTGGGAGGATGGCTTGAGGCCAGGAGTTCCAGACCAGCCTAGGCAACATAGCAAGACCTCATCTCTACATAAATAAAGAAGTCAGCTAGGCGTGGTAGGGTGCACCTGCAGTACTAGAGGCTAAGGTGAGAGGATCCCTTGAGCCCAGGAGTTTGAGGATGCAGTGAGCTACGGATAGCGCCATGGTTCTCCAGCCTGGGAAACAGAATGAGATCCTCCAAAATAAAATAAACATAATGGTACAGGTGGCATGTGGTCACAGTAAAACTCATGAGGGTGCAGGCAACACACTGAAATTTGGAAAACACACTGAATTTTCTCTGTTCTTCCCTGAGACATAAGTATTGTTTTCCATTTTGCAGCTAGGGAAACTGAGGACAGATGGCACCCCCAGAGGCACAGATTCAAGATAATACCAGATGTGCAGCTCTGCCTGAAAAGGCCCTGAGTAAACGTTCCCAGTGGCTTATAATCGGAAGCTTGTTCCATGGCAGAGGCCTGTGGTTGCATCTGTCACCAAATGAGACCCCTGGGGCTTCCAGGGTGCCCCCACTGCTGCTAGTTCTGGGCTTCTGAGTATAATGAGTATGGCAGGCTGGGGCCCTCGCAAGGCACTTTCAGAATCTGCATCAAATGAAATTTGAATCAGAAAGTTCCCTGGAGACCCAAGGGAGGCATCAGGCTGAAATCTCCAGGAGAGGTAGGTGCAGGCATGGCTCATGTTAGCTGAAATCACTCTGCACCTGAGAGGCCACACATGCACAGTGGCACTGAATAAATTAGGAGAAATAGACATGCTTCTCAGAAAGGGGAGTGGGAGGCCTCTATGCTCCCAGCACCGTTGTCAGTGCACCCTTTCCCCAGGTTCCGACAAAAGCGTGTCCCATGGGGCCCATCCTGAAGCCAATGGGCTGGGTCCAGCAAGGGGCAGAGGAGGTCAGGAGGGAGGTGGGAAAACTGGCAGAGCCCTCCCTGGCTGCACACTCCAAGTTCTGAGCCTCACAAGCATCCGGCACTTGTTCAGGGCCCCTGTGAAATAGACTGACGTTATGAACCGAATTGTACCCCCATACTCCATATATTATAACCTCCAGGATCTCAGAATGTGGCTGTATTTGGAGATAAGGCTTTTAAAGAGGCAATTCAGGCTAAATGAGGTCATTGGGGTGGGCCTAATCCAATCTGATGAGTGCCCATAGAAGAAAAGGAGATTAGGAAACAGACACTCAGCCAGAGGGACGACCATGTGAGGTCACAGTGAGAAGACAGCCATCTGCAAGCCTAGGAAAGAAGCCTCAGAGGAAACCGCCCCTGTTGAATCCTTTGTCTCAGACTCTGAGAACATGGACTCTGAGAACATGCAGTTCTGTCCTAAGCCACCCAGGCTGTGGCATTTTGTTATGGCAGCCCTAGCAGATGAACACAAGCAGTGAGCACTCTCAGTGGCTGCTCTGCTGTTTACATCACTTAGAAGTTCTTCCTGGTGTCCAGCTGTTTCTCTCCCTCTCTTCTTTCTACATGCCCTGGCCAGGGGACCAAAGAACACCCACACTTCGTGGGGCACTCACGCCAGAGCACGATCCAAGCAGAAAGTGCCCTGTGAATGTTTCCAGAGTGAGAGTACCCAGGGAGAGAGCTGGGGGTGCTGGGCGGGCCAGGAGTAGGATGGGAAGGTGATTTCTGCCTGGGGAGCAGGACACACAGCAGACAAGAGCCTTCCTCTATTAGTGCATTCACTTATTCATGTGTTCATTCATTCACTCGGTGAATTAGCCCTGGTCTCACCTTCAGGGAATTAGGGGAAGGCTGCTGTGTTCACCCTCCCAAACCCACCCAGCAGGGTGAGGTTCTGAGGGCAGAGAGTGAGGCCAGAGGGTCAATAGCCTGGCTTTGAAGTGTGAACCTGCTTTTATAGGCTATGTGGCCCTGGTGAACCCCAAAACATCTGAAGCTGTGGTGTCCTCACCTGCCAGATGAGAATAATAATCAAATCTACCATGTAGAGGTTTTGAGGACTAAACGAGGTGACACAAGCAACCTGCTCAGAACAGAATGTGTCACATGGTCAGTACTCAAAAATCAAGATCACAGTTTATTGCGATTAGTATTATTTCCATTCCCTGCCCTAAGAGATCCCAGCCTTTGCCCAGTCTTCTTCATATGGTCTCATGCTCACTTCATGTCCCAGGGCCTTTACTCAGGCTGTCTCCATCACCTGGGGTATTCTGTGCCCTGCACCCCTGGTCCCCCTTCCTGGGGCCAGCTTACTTCTCACCTCCCCCAGGAGCACCACCTCCCACACAGGCATGCTCCAACCTTCTGCATCCGCAGTGCCTGCCACTTAGCATTACTTGGGGTCCTCATCACTACCCAGCACTAGGATGCTTTCTGCTCAGGGCCTAAGCCCTCCACTTTCTCATACCCTCCTCCAGCCTTACCCAGGTGCACTTCCTGGCCGTTCCATGGGATTTGTCCCATTCAGCTTCATTCTCTAAAGCAGTGGATCCCAACTGGGGCTGCTTTTGCCCCCTCGTCCCTGACCCAGGGGGCATTTGGCAATGTCTGGAGACATTGTTGGTTGTCACACAGTGTAGGTGGCAGGGGTGCTACTGTCATATAGTGAGTTGAGGCCAGGGAGGCTGCTAACCCTCCTATGATGAACAGGGCCTCCCACAGTAAACACTTACGCCCCCCAGAATGTTCATAGTGCCCCAAGGTAGAGAAGCCCTGCTCTCAGGAGGCACCTGCTTTCCTTCAGAGATGGTGAGCTCTGGGGTTCCTAGTAATTTGATTCTCAGGACAATTCACATCCTGGCTGGGCAGGCCCTCCCGCGCCCGCCCCTTGTCACAGCATCCGTGGATCCCTGCAGATTTGTATGAAGCAATTGACCTGTGACTAAGGCCAGCTGAGCTCTCCTTGTTCCTGCAGGGTGGGGACAATACCCCCATTAACTGGGAGGCAAGGTCCCGCACAGCAGCAGCTCAGAGCATGGACTGGGGAGGGGTGTGGATGGGGGAGGAGAAAAAGGGGCAGCTCCAGAGCCGTCCTAGGTTGGGGGCGGGAGTCCCTAGTACTAACGGTTATAATTAGCACAACATGAATATCAGCATCTCCTCCTGGGTGCCCAGTACATGAGAGCTCATGCTTATTCACATCCCTGATGAGATGCCAACCTTGGGGTATAGTCCTTGTTCCCATTTAATATAAGAGGATACTGACAGATCCCAGGAGATTTACCCAAGGTCACCCAGCTGGTAGATGGAGAAGTAGAGGCAGGAACTCAGATTATCTGAATTATGGTTTGTCTTAAGCACTCATTCTGTGCCAGGCACAGCGAAACTACTAGATGCGGAGTTTGTAACCTGGGCAAAAGGGGGTCTTAGAACCCCAGAACCTCACGAAACTCAGGCCACGCCTCCTCTGAGCATCGGCTCCACCCACAGGGCGCCAGAGGCCCCTACCACCAGGCTTCACCCCCAGCGCCATTGACTGAACTGTGCAAAAGGGGAGGGGTCTTCCAAGCCGAGATGAGCCAATCAGAACCTCTCTTCAATGACCTGGAAATCAGTGTCTGGGCCAGACAGATGGTAGTGGGCAGGGGACAGAAAGGTGTTGAGGGAGAAGCACCCTTGCCTGATGGTTGCCCAAAGCCAGGGGCAGGTGGAAGTGAGAGAAGGACAAGCCCTGCAAACGTTGCAGAAGCCCTCTGTCCATGGAGAAGGCATGGGACTTTCACGCCGGGGCAGCTTACTCCTGCTGAGAACTTTGGGGAGACAGAGTGGAGCAGCCATCTCAGACCTGAGCGGCTAAGGAGCTGGATCCTTCTCTGGCGCACTGTGCAGAGCTGCTGGACTTTGCAGTAAGCAGCCTTCAGGTCTAAGGGTGAGTGCCCTGGGGATAGGGGCAGGGCGCTGATGGGGTGGGCTACACGAGATTTTTTGCCAGATCATTGGGAAAATGGTCATGCCATCTTCTTTGACACAACATCCTGCTCAAGAACCTCCTAGGGCTTCCCAAGCCATTTAGAAAAAAGTACCAAGAGATTATACTGGCCTAGAAGGCCTTACAGGATCCAGCTCCAACTTTTGCAACAACCTAATACACGGCTGTTCTTCTCACTACATTCAAGCCTTTGCTCAAATGTCATGTGATTCGTGAGTTCTTCGCTGTGTATCCTCCTTACAATAGATCCCTCCTTTCATCTCTCTCCCTGTCCACCTCCTCATCCTGCTATGCTGCTATATATCCTGCTATAAATGTACATTTATTTACTTATTTGATTTTATTTGGTGTCCCCAAACCAGAATGTCATCTGCTTTGGCTTGTGCCTCGCATATGCTAGTTAATAAATACAGTATTGGTTAGAGAGGGAAGGAAGGTTCAGCTGCTTGGGTTTAAATCTTGGCTCTGCCGTGTATCAGCTGAATGACCTTGGAAGTCTTCATTCTCAGTGTCTCAGCTTCCTCTTCTGTAGGAAAGAAATACATAAGAAAGCACCGATCATAATATCTACCTCATGGCATTGTTGTGGGGATCAGGTGAAATCATGTATGTACAGGGCCTGGCAGATATTCGAGTGCTTAATAAATGCTAGCTGTGTTTATCCTTGGACCCCAATTACCCCATCTGTGAAATGGGGTTGTTATAATTCTTATAAGAATTCTGGGCCAGATGGTGGTGGGCAGGGGAGAAATGAATTATAACCCCATTTCACAGATTCGGTATAATGAGATAATGAATGTAAAGTGTTTTGCACGTAGTGCACCCTCTATAATACTTTGTGGTTATTTTTCATTAATACACACACACACATACACACACACACACTCCATCCATGAAGGCTATCCATTTGTGCCTTCCCTAAGCAGAGTCCCTGTAAGTCCTGGAATTAGCATGGACCTAAGTAAACCCTTGAATTCAATGACTGAAGGAGGACAGCTCCAGTTTAGCAGCTTCCACACTCATTTTCTCTGAGCTGATGCCAACACAGCTTTCCCCTCCTGTGTGCTCTGGGAGCTTTCCCTTCCTGTGCACTCTGCAGCCCCAGTCTCCAACAGGCAGCCTGGCGTCCCTACAAAACAGTCCCACACAAGCATCAGAACCCCAGCTGCTCCCCCTCCAGAGCCCAGACCACCAGGCTGAGCAACCGCGCCTCTGTGCAATGTTGCTCCTTATTAGGCATCATTAGGTACACAGTAATTATAATAATTATGTGCACTGCTTAGGCGACCATCCTCAGTAACAACCACTGCTATTCAGAAGTCATAATTGCTGCATCGAGATTTAAAATGAAGGCTAATTAGATGTCAGTTGCTACCCCCCCAACTCACAACCTCCTACATAATCTCTATATCCAAAATGCCCTCATGACCACCAGCTATCCTTGATTAATCTGCAGAACCCAAAACAAACAATTTGGTCCACAGGAGAGCATGGATCTGCCTGTGGGATTAAGAGGGAACATGTGGATGCTTGAAGGGGACTTGCAGGGCATTGCATCATTTCAAAAGAAAAGAATTTGGAAGGAAAGAGTGGCTGAAGAACTTGAGCTGAGAGTCAAGAGATGGGGTCTAAGTCCTGGTTCTATCAGGGTCTTGATGTGGCGCTGCACAGGTCACCTCCCTCCCCATCCACACAGTTAGAGGAATTGACCTAGGGATGCGCTGCAGGGGGCACTTTGTAAAGTATCAAGTGATACTTTACAAGGGGATCAATAAACAACACAGATGCAAGCAGAGCCTTTGATTAAAGCAAAACAAGAAGGTCTGGACACTCCCTGTCCTTATCCTGTCTGCCAGCACCCTCTGAAATAACTCTGCAAACCCTTGGGTTTCCTGGGAGACAGACTGGAAACTGCTGGTGCCTGTGCTGGTGCACTGGTTCTCAAAGCTGGCCCCACACTGGAATCACCTGGACAGATTTTAAAACTGCTGGTAACCAGATTTCCTCCAGAAGTTGTTTTCTTTGGTCTGGGCTATGACCTGAACATCAGGGATTTTTTAATTCTCCAAGATGATCCTAAAAGGCAGCCAAGCTTGAGAAGCCTTGCTCTATATGCCCTGACACCTGAACATTCAAAGCGCTTATGATTCTGCTCAGCCTAGTACAAGGTTTCCCCTCTCTGGGTCTCAGTTTCCCCATTTTCCAAAATGAAAGCATTATACACAGTGGCTTCCAAGGACTTCTAGCTCTAAGTTTCCTTCAGACTGTGATTCCTCTAGAGCTTGGCATGATGAGAGTGCTGAAGAGTGAGGGAAACCAAGGCTATTTAGATCCACCTTTGCCAAATAATATTTGTGTCTACTCCTATATGTGCAAGCCTGTCTCCAGTGCTGCAGAATAAAAATTAGAAAAAGTCAGCTAAATGCTTTTTGTTCTAAGGAATTAACAAGGAATTGTGTGTTGGAAGTGAAAGCATTAAATAGCAACACACACACACACACACACACACACACACACACACACACACAGGACTCATCAAAGCCACCTACAGAAATGCTTTAAGGACTGGAGATACTGCACCGAAGTCATTAAGCAATGTTCCTGGTTCACGGGAAAACCCCCAGTAAATGGCAATTTTTGTTATGGTTGGGCACAAACCCAGCATTCTCTTGGGTATACTGGGCAAAACACTGTCTTATGTATTCTGTAATAGCAGCACAAATGAACTAAGACACCTGCCTGGCCTATAAATACCCCAGAAAGCTGCTAATGCTGCTCAGCACAAGGGTGCAGAATGAGCTTCTCTTACCGTGAAGCCTCATCTTTCAAGTGCTGCCACTATTTGCATGAGCTACACACAAGCTGTGCAGAGCCAGAAAGAAAAACAGCAGACAATTCCTAGACAGCACCTACTATGTGCTAGACCCTGTTGTAAGCAACACACATGTATTATCTCATTCCACTTTCATTAGAACCCTATCAGTTGGGTACTACCATTATCCCCATTTTGCAAGTGATTAAACTGAGTCATGGGGAAATTAGGCAGGTTGTTCTGTTCACGTAGCTGGAAAGTGGTAAGAAGCACATTGTAGAAAATTTTTCCCTTTCCGAAGTTCTTCCCTTTGGCATTTCACCAGCCTGAATGACTCCAGGTTTTCAAGGAAAGGCATTAGAGTATGGGGGGATGCATTAATGGCAGGACCCTGAAGTTCCTGTTGGGACTCACTCTCTGAAGATCCTTGGCCAATAAATGTGTTATGGGTATACACACTGAGCCTCTGCAAGCCGAGTTGTGAGCTGCCGCTGAAGGCTGAGAGCTAAATGGTGATACCAGAGGTTACAAAGTATAGGGGGTTCTGGCCCAGCTAGAATGAATTAAAAGACTCCACCAGTAATTTGACTGCCTGCCATAATGAAATCACCATCATTTAAAGGATGGCAAGAAAATTTAGAATACCCAGAACACAAAAAATAAATGACTACACATGAAAACAGTAGGCAAAAGTGACTCAAATCAACAAAAAAACAGACAACATTGAGATGTTCAGAAGTTGGAATTAACATCCAAGGACTTGAAAACAGCTATTATAGAGACAAGGATCCAAGATGGCTGAGTAGGAACAGCTCTGGAGTGCAGTCCTTAGCAAGAACAATGCAGAGGGTGAGTGATTGCCGCATTTCCAAACGAGCTATTACTGCCCACAGACTAGGAAATTCCCCAGGCTGAAAAGCACCACAAGTTTCCAGCACAGCTGATTCAGCCAGTGCAGCAGGTCTCTGCACAAAAACTCACACAAATCTGAGCGGCCATTTCAACTGGTGCCTGGAACGCCTGGGAGACAGAGCTGCCCACTCAACTGAAATAAAGGGGGCAGAAACAGGGAGACAGGTGATCTGGCTCAGCGGGTCCCACCCCCACAAAGACCAGTGATATGAAACGCTCTGGATTGAGAGTTTCAAGCAAGCGCAGCTGGACCCGAGATGGTTCAGCTCTGTGAGGGGAAGGGCGTCCACCATTACCGAGTCAGTCCACCACTACTGAGGCAATCTGCCATTACTGAGGCAGCCTGCCATTACCAAGGCACTCTGCCACTACCGAGGCAATCTGTCATTACTGAGGCAGACCACCATTACGGAGGCAGTTCTAACTTTACCTCTATAAACAAAACCACAAGGAAGTTCACATAGCAGCTGGCCAGAGACCATGGCAACTCAGCAACGCCTCTGCTGGCAGACTGTGACTAGGCTACCTCCTAGCTGGGAAGGGCATCTCTGAAAAAAGGGAGCAGCACATCAGGAACTTATAAATAAAGCCCCACCTTCCCAGGGCAAGCACCTGGGAAAAAAGGCAGTTATGAGTTCCACTGCAGCAGACATAAACATACCTGCCCCCTTAAGCAGCTCCCTGACTCCTGTATATCCAAAGAGACACCTCAGAAAGGAGAGCTCAGGCTGACATCTGGCTGGTATCCTTCTGGGACAAAGATAATAGAAGGAACTGGAGAACCCCTTACTATTCTGTAGCCGTGACAGGTGATCCCCAGGCAAGCAGGGTCTGGAATGAACCTCCAGCATTCCTACAGCAGAGGGGCCTGACTGTTAGAAAGAAAACTAAAAAACAGAAAGAAATAATTTCATCATCAACAAAAAGTATGTCCACACAGAGATCCCATCCAAAAGTCACCAACTACAAAGACCACAAGTAGATAACTCCACAAAGATGGGAAGAAACCAGTGCAAAAAGGATGAAAACACCCAAAACCAGAATGCCTCTCCTCCTCCAAGGAATCACAACTCCTCACCACCAAGGGAACAGAGCTGGATGGAGAATGAGTCTGATGAATTGACAGAAACAGGGTTCAGAAAGTGGGTAATAACAAACTTCTCTGAGCTAAAAGGACATGTTCTAACCCAATGCAAAAAAAAAAAACCTAAGAACC